GTAATTACCTTAATTAATTACAGATAAATCTAAAGACAAAATGCATCAGTACCAGCTGTTTTTACATATTCTTTATTTACCCTTTTTTTAAAATTATTACGTCAGTGATGATTTTAGAAATGACATCATTAACCTATTTATTATTAAGCAAAAAAAATTAATTGCATTCAAAAAATTTCAAAGGATGTAATTACCTTAATTAATTACAGATGAATCTTGGTCACTATATAAGTAGAGCATGACATTAGCCCTTTTCATAAAAATATACACACAACAAAAAGAATAATTCAAGATTCTGAAATGGCAACCATATTGTTCATTGTGTATGTATTTATTTATTTTTAAGTTTTTTGTTTGAATTTTTATGAATAATTTGTAGATTTAAATGATTTATTATTCTATTTGTCTACATATTTGATTTAAAAACTAATAAACATTAATTTTTTGATAGGTACTATTCAATGTACGGACATGTCGAGAAACTGGCACGAGAGATGCAGAAAGGGGCTGCATCAATTGAAGGTGTTGAAGTCAAGCTATGGCAGGTACAATTTCTTCTTCTTTTTTTTTTTTTACATTTTATTTAACGTGTTATTATACTGTTATACTGTCCGTACATATAATTTAATTCAATTTATCTATATATATATATATGTAACAGGTGGCGGAAACTCTTCCAGCTGAGATTCTAGCTAAGATGGGTGCACCCCCGAAAGGGAACGCACCAATCATTGCACCTGATGACCTTGTTGAAGCTGATGGATTTGCTTTTGGTTTTCCAACAAGATTTGGAATGATGCCAGCTCAATTTAAGGCTTTTTTTGATGCAACTGGTGCAATCTGGAAGAATCAGCAGCTAGCTGGCAAACCAGCTGGTATTTTCTACAGCACAGGTTCTCAGGGTGGTGGTCAAGAAACTACTGCGTTAGTACTTTTTCCTTTGAGATCATATACCAAATGAAGTTATTTTTTAGTAAATGGTTTCAAATTTTGTGTTTTTGTATTTTTAATTGTAGGTTGACTGCAATTACACAGCTCGTTCACCATGGGATGATTTTTGTTCCAATTGGTTACACATTTGGGGTTGATATGTTCGATATGGAGGATATCAAAGGTGGAAGTCCTTATGGTGCTGGAACATTTGCTGGGGATGGTTCAAAACAGCCAACTGAGGTTGAATTGGAGCAAGCTTATTATCAGGGGCAATACATAGCAACCATCACTAAGAAGCTTAAAGGCTCTTCTGCCTAAATCTTTAGTTAACTACTTGCATTCTATAGTTTCGTTTCGTTTCTTTATGTTTAAGAAAAAACACTCTGGTTAAGAGTGAAGTAATTGGTAATACTCTGGTTAAGAGTTTAAGTTAATGATATTGAATAAAGAATGCAAGTTACAAATTGAAATTCTCCATTCTTGTGGTAGAGATAACTAGACTTGGTATGATTCATGAAGTTACATAATGAATCACAATGCATATGCTTAACAATCAATTTAGTGGGGAGTGACAAAAATATTTATAACAGCATTTCGCGTGATCATTAAAAATTTAACTTAGAAAACAAATATATATCGAATCTCTTTTATCAAAGAAAATATGAATTGTAAGGGAGAATTTAACTTAAACGGATAAGAGGAACTTGATAATCAATGACATAAATTATATAAAGCATTCACTCCAATTATTATTTACAATTTTTTTGCCTCATCTTTTGTTTCCATGTCCTAACTATTCAAATTTTTTTCTTCAATAAATCTGTTTGATTAATCTTTGATTTGGATATTGATCCCTATTTTGTCACTCTCCTAATCATCTCAGAATTTGTCTTCAACTTCATTTTTATTCTTCATATATTTTGTCAATAAAATTTTATAAGAAATTAAAATAATAAATAAAAGACATTTACTTCTTAATTAATAGAAAATGATTTAAAATATTCTTAAAATATTGAATTTTAGTAAAGTGATAAACTGATATATTTTAATATAATAATTAACTAATATAAGAAAGATTTACAACTTCAAAATTTTAAGTGATTTATTTTGGAACTTCCATAGAACTGCATATTTCCCTTAGAAATAGAGTAGTGTTAGGGTAAATTAGTCAAACTATAATTACTTTACTTAGTATTAATAATATAAAAGTAAGACAATTATTATGTATTACAAATGAAAATCTAAAAGGTCTTCGGAAGTACTGGTAACTGTTTTACGAGAAGTAAGGTGAAAAATCTAAGGTAAAGTTATTATAGAGAACACATTTTTATTTACTTAATTATATATTTAAAAATATTTTTGATTCAAACTATTAACCATATATTTGCATTGGGCAGATGTATTTAATTAATTCAACAACAATGATGATGGGACATTTGGATTAAACCTTAACCAAGATGTGAATGGATTAATTGGTTTATATGAAGCATCACAACTTGGTGTAGAAGGTGAATACATACTTGATGAAATTGCAAAATTTAGCGGTGATCACCTAAATGCATGTCTTGACCATAGTGACGAAGCTAGAATTATTAAAGAAACATTAAACATACCATAAGAGTTTAGCAAGTTGCAAGGCCAAAAGCTTCATCAATAACTTTAAAGGAATTAATGGATGGGGAAAAAGCACTTTAAAAGAATTGGCAAATATGGAATACTCCATAACAGAAGAGATACATCAACATGAATTGACTCAAGTTTCCAGGTATATTAATTAGTTGAATAGAACTTTTATACACTAGCTGTATAAGAGTTTTACACTAATAGATTATCTATAATTAAGCATTTAACTTATTTATATTGATATAGAGTACAAAGAAGTTTGATACCATCATTATGTTTTAACTTATCATAATAGGTAACTTATTTTACTTTCTCTAGGTTATTGATCTCATTTTTAGGGGACTTGATGTTGCAAAATTCCTTTAACTATCTTTACATATAAAATTAAGTTAAAAAAGCTATAGGTAATTAGAAAATCGAATTTATAACCTAAAATAAGTCAAATTACATGCTACAAACAAGTTTAAAAGCACTAATCACCATAGAAAAAATTAAATTTTTAACCCTATAAAGGATTTTGAATTTAAATGACGATTTCAAGTGTTAATAAATTAGGTTCTATATAAACTAGATATTTATCCATATTTAGTAAAATTCATAATACTAGCACACTATTTGAGCAAGAATTATTGGATTAAATCGAAACTAGACCAAGACTTCTAACTCTGTCTATACTGATCACAAATTCCTACAAGGTCTCGATTGAATTTCAAATGTCTTTCTCACTTTTTAGAATATTGAAGGTCTTGATTTTAAATCTTTCTTTATTCCGTTAATATATAATTTACAAAATTTTTATACTATCAATATATGTATATAAACAATTTAATCTTCTTATGATATACATGTATGTAGGTGGTGGAGAAGGCTTGGTTTAGCTGAAGAATTGAAGCTTTTGAGAGACCAGCCATTAAAATGGTATACTTGGCCAATGGCTGTCCTTGAAGATCCAAAAAAGTCACAAGAAAGAATTGAGTTAGCAAAATGCATCTCTTTTGTTTATGTCATTGATGACATTTTTTATGTTTATGGATCTGTAGAAGAATGAACCCTCTTTACTCAAGCTGTCAATAGGTATTTTGTTTAAGATAAAAATTAATTTGATAGTTTAAAACTTTTTGGGTAGTCCATAACCTTAAATGCTAATTAATTATACATGAGATGACCTTATGAGGCTCTTTATAATACAATTAATTCACATGTTTTTTTTTCATTGATTAGTACTTAGGGATCGTTTAGTGTGAGTGATAAACAAAAATAATAATAAAATATTATTTTTATTCGGATAACTTATTCTATCATTTATACCACTGTGATGAATAAGTTATCCGAGAATGGATAGTTTTATTCTCCTCTTATAAAAATGAGATGGATGTACTTTTGAAAATTTCATTTTGTTAATTAGTATCTCAATACTTTACTCATAATTATTATTTTTGGATTTTAGTGGGCAAATTTGTGCATTGCATTTCTAATAGAAGCAAGTTTATCTGTCCTTATTTATGTAATATGTTTTTGTTTCTAAATAAAAAACATTTTATCTTTATATTTTTATTCTATCTTTAGGATGAGAATCAAGAAGGAAAAGATGGTTCATACATAGAATGTTACATGAAGGAAAACAAAGATTCTTCCATTGAATTAGCTAGAGAACATGTGATTAAGCTAATTGAAGATGATGATAAGCAATCCCTTCCTATCCTTCAAGAATATATTAAGTCTATGTTGTTGTAATGGTGATTTATCAATGTAAATTACCTTTTCATGAACTTCCTTCTCGCCCTTTATTATAAAGCATCACAATTTAAAACTATCAAAAGAAATTAAACATGATTGTTGCAACTGTTTATTCCTTAATTTCACATTAATCATACATGTCATCGCAGTATGAGAATAAGTGGAGGAGTACTTATTAAAGGAATATATAAGTAAGAGAGAGAAAGAGCTAGTATATAGGATATGAAATGCTTGTTGATCCTTCGCCCCTCTTGCTCGACGAACCAACTTGATTCATTATTCTCCTCCACGAGGAAGGAACTAGCATAAAGAAAATAGATTCAAAGAGCTTAAGGTCAATTATTGAGTATTATCACACAATCTGCTAGCTATTGTCTAGTCTTAGGTTTTTACATTTTCAAATGTAATAAAAAAAACATTTCCATCGCCACATGTTATTATAGCTTGAATAAATGACTTTTGACTTAAAAAATGAAGAGAGATTTGTTTGGTTATAGAGATCAAAAAAATACAATATGCATAGTGTCCCATTAATTCTTTTAACCACTCGGAACAGCACTAAAGAATTATTATAGAAAATCAAAAAGATATTTAATTGGCCATAAATAAAATCAAATAGTAAAAATAAATTTTTCTAACAATCTTCCAACACCTTGATCTGCCACTATTATTATAAATAGAGGGGTTCCAATTGTTATTTCATCAAACAAAATACTCCAAAAAATATTTATAGAAAATTATCTTTTATGGCAAATATTACTAAAGCTTTCTCCCCTTTACCATTATATCTTTGCCAAATTGGAAGCAAAAGAAGTAGTATCAAAGTTTCATGCAGAAGCTCTAACAGATGGAACTTTCAAGAAGATCTTTTAAAAAAAACCTCTTATCTTCAAACGAGCTATAATCGCGTAAGATTTTAACTTTTATAAATTGACAATATAAAATGATATTACTAATTTTAAAAAAAATTATATTTATCATATATGAAATATATTATCGGTGTATATAAATTAAAGATGGAAGTAAGTTGAGACATTACATTTCTCAAGCCTTTACCTTCAAAGTTCATGATTTTAAGTTTTCAAAATATGAATTTATGTCATAGAATCTAAGAATATTATTATACACGTGTGAATATAAATAAGCTAATTAGGAGATGAAATAATTATCTTTTGTATCATGGTAGTATTTTTCTAGTCCCCTTTTAAAACTTTTATTATTGGCTAGTCATAAACTTTATATTTTTGTAGCAATTCACGTAGCATCATTTAAATGATACAAATTCATATAACACGCTGTTATAGGAATGTCAATACCGTACTGTTGCACTATGTAAAATTCCTCCATGTAATTTAATAGAAAACAAACTATAAGGCAAGTATGCAAAAACTTCGAATTGGCACAATATGGCAACGTAATAATTGTCCAATGAAATAGTATTTTCCCTGTCTTGTTTTTTTAAAAAAAATACTTACTAATGCAGGATGGATTCAATAGTACCAAATTTGGGCTACTTGTGAAGGATGTCAAGTATGCACTAAGGACACAAATAAATAATAATAATAATCTTGTTTTGGTGGATACACTTCAACGTATGGGAATTGAACACCATTTTCAGCAAGAGATTCAATCAATTTTACAAAAGGAATATGAGCAAAATACTTGTTTTCTTAAGTATCAAAACCATCATGATATTTCACTTTGTTTCAGACTTCTGAGACAAGAAGGTTACCACGTGTCAGCGGGTAATTGGTAAAAAAGTGTATTTCTTTTTTCTAACGAATTAAATTTTTTTTTGACGTGATCGTTATATAGTTTGACACGATATTAAAGTAGGTAGCTAAAAGTCATGATCAATTTGAATAGTAATTTCTCTAGTTAATTTAGACATGAAAAGAAATCAATTTCACACGTGTAAACATGTTTAAAAAACATAAAAAATAAAATAAAGTTATATTTTCTCGAATAGCATTATCTTTTGAATGAAAAATTATAATTAGGTATATTTTTTTTATTAAAGATATTCTTGATTTAAAACTATTAACCTTATATTTGCATTGGGCAGATGTATTTAAAAAATTGAAGAACAATGATGATGGGACATTTGGATTAAACCTTAACCAAGATGTGAATGGATTAATTGGTTTATATGAAGCATCACAACTTGGTGTAGAAGGTGAATACATACTTGATGAAATTGCAAAATTTAGTGGTGATCATCTAAATGCGTGTCTAGCAAATAGTGACGAAGCTAGAATTATTAAAGAAACATTAAAGTATCCATATCACAAGAGTTTATCAAGATGGAAGAATAAAAGCTTCATCAATAACTTCAAAGGAATTAATGGATGGGGAAAAAACACTTTAAAAGAATTGGCAAATATGGACTACTTCATAACAAAAGAGATACATCAACATGAATTGGCTCAAGTTTTCAGGTATATTAATTAGTTGAATTTAATTTTAATATACGTCAGATTACCTATAATTAATCATAGAGTATAAAGGAGTTTGATAACATCATTATTTTTTAACTTATCGTAATAGGTAACTTATTTTACTTTCTAGGTTATTAATCTCATATTTAGGGGACTTAGATGTTGCAAAAATCCTTTTAACTATCTTTATATATAAAATTAAACTAAAAAAGCTATAGGTTATTTAAAAAAACAAATTTATAACCTAAAATAAGATAAATTACATGCCACAAATTAGTTTTAAAGCACTAATCACCCGAGAAAAAAATAAGAATTTTAACCTAATGAATTTTGAATTTTAAAATGACGTATGATTTCAAGTGTTAATAAATTAGGTTCTAAACTTAATATTTATCCATATTTATTGAAATTCTTAATATTAATAGATTGTTAACTTATTGAATTTAATCGAATCTAGATCCTGAGTTCTAACTCTGCCCCTCTACTCTACACAAATTTCTACAAGGTCTCGATTAAATATAAAATATCTTTCTCATTTTTTAAAATATTGGAGGTCTTTGATCCAAATCTTTCTCTTTTCCTTTAATATATAATATACTAAATCTTTATACTAAGACTATCGATCTCTCTATACATATATATATTAAAAAAAACAATTTAATCTTATAATAATGATATCTATGTATACATACATAGGTGGTGGAAAAGTCTTGGTTTAGCGGAAGAATTGAAGCTTTTGAGAGATCAACCATTAAAATGGTATACTTGGCCAATGGCAATGCTTACTGATCCAAAAATGTCACAAGAAAGAATTGAGTTAGCAAAATGCATCTCTTTTGTTTATGTCATTGATGATATCTTTGATGTTTACGGAACTATTGAAGAGTTAACCCTTTTCACTCAAGCTGTTCATAGGTATTTTATTTGAAATAAAAATGATCTGATAGTATAAAACGTCATTATTTTTTTTAAAAGGTTATCGTTATTTTAGGTGGGAATTGAGCGCAATGATGGACCTACCGGAATACATGAGATCACTTTACAAGGCTCTTTATAATACAATTAATTCCATTGGCTATAACATCTACAAAATCTATGGACAAAATCCCACTCAAAATCTACAAAATACGGTATTATTCACATGTTTTATTTCATTTTTTGCATTGATTAGTACTTAGTTTCTAATTTATTCGTATTAATTACTATTAACTAGTCATTTTTTCTATGTATTCAAATATTAAATTTATTATATTTAATACCGATATAATAACGTTATCATTCTATTTATTATATTTTAAAAGGTATACTATCAAGTTAATATTGAACAAGCTAAGTAAAGAAAAATAGAGAGCATATTTATCATTTTATATGACGTATTTGTGTGAATAAAAAAAGAAGAAATATTTTATATATAGATATAAGAGTTTAATAAAACGAGAAGTCTAAATTAAGATAAACTTTTATTTATCGACATTAAATATGTCCCAATCTTTTTGAACTAAAGTATGTCATATAAAAAAATAAGAATTTTTCTCAATACTTTATTCTATATTATTACTCATAATTGTTTTTTTATTTTATTTTAGTGGGCACATTTGTGTAGTGCATTTCTAATAGAAGCAAAATGGTTTGCTTGTGGGATGGTGCCAACAACAGATGAGTACCTAAAGAATGGGCTTGTTAGTTCTGGAGTTTATGTTGCCTTAATTCACTTGTTCTATATCTTAGGCCTTGGAGTAAGCTCTATGCATTTACAAGATATATCACTCATGTCCACTTCCATAGCTAAGATTCTTCGTCTTTGGGATGATCTTGGAAGTGCAAAGGTAATTTATGTTTATTTAACTAGTGAAATTCACCGCTGATCTATTTTAGAGACAAGTTTTTATAGTTCATCTGTCTGTTTTTATTTACGTGACATATTTAGGATGAAAACCAAGAAGGAAAAGATGGTTCATACGTAGAATATTACATGAAGGAAAACAAAGATTCTTCCATGGAATTAGCTAGAGAACATGTGATTAAGCTAATTGAAGATGAATGGAAGCAACTCAACAAAGAACACTTTTGTCTAATGAGTCAATCTACAAGATCATTTTCAAAAGCTTCTCTTAATTCTGCAAGAATGGTTTCTCTTATGTATAGTTATGATGATAAGCAATCGCTTCCTATCCTTCAAGAATATATTAAGTCTATGTTGGATGGTAATTTATAATCTTATCTTTTTCACGAACTTTCTTCTCGCTCTTGATTATAAAATTATCATTGAACATTATTGTTGCAACTGTATGTCGTCGCACAAAAATATGCATAGTGTTCCATAAAAAAAAAGATTGACATACTTTCATATTTTTGAAATTAATTTAATTTTAATATTTTTCCCTGAATGAGGTGATGATCTAATGCACCATTTTGAATGAACTTACACATTACACAATGTTGAAAAAGTTATCATTTTGATGGATGACGGTTCAACATGTGATTTTCTGATGGGATGATATTTCAATTTAATATATATGAGTATACAACACAAATCACATTAACTTTAGCTAGCTATTCATATTCGAACACAATAATTTTATAAATTTTCATCCATATCATTTTTATTTCTTTGGCTATATATAGCGGTACATTGGGCCAACAGTCACTTATTCCAAAAGTGGTCCAATGGGCAAAAATAACTTAAATACACTAACTATAGGTTAAGTATTCTCTAATTTTTCCTTCTTTTTTTAAATATTACATAAACCTTTTTTTTTAATTTTAGTAGAAGTTTAGAGATACATAGTCTTCTCTCTCCTATAACACACACTTCTCCATATCATGCCTATTTTTTCTCCACCAAAACACTCAATCTTCTGAATCACTTTTTGAATTTTGAATTATTAATTTTAATTAAAAATGTTTCACAACATTTAATATGAAAAATCTATTATAACGTCTGGAAAATCAAGCAAGCCAAGTGAAATCTCTGTAACATCAAAATCAAAAATCATTCTGTCAGTTAAGGAAGCTAGGGAATACCTCTCGAAGAAAAATGAGAAACTGAAAACAAAGCAAGAAAGGATCTCTGAATGTGAACCAGAGGTGGAAAATATATCAATACCACTACTGGAAGAAGAGAGCATTGGTGATGTGAACCAGCTGTCTAATAAAGCAGGAAAAGAATTTGATCGATTGCCTTTATGTGGAACATCTGATTTTGCTTATGAAGATTCTAGCTTCAAACAAGAAGAATTTCTTCCAACAAGCAACAGTGTTGTAGCTGCACTGAACAAGATTCTATGTATCAAGGGTTTTTGAAATTTTTTATCATGTATCAGTGATTAATTTCAATAACTGCGCCATCAAGTGTTCTTACTGATACATTTTG